AGGTCAGGTTACCTAATGAATGTTGACAAATGTAGCTTAATTGTAATATTAGTAATATTCATATTACTACTATTACTCTCTCCCTCTCTCTAGGCTTATTGCTCTAGGGGTCACCACAGCGGCACTACTATGCCATTCATTTTACTATCACTAATACTAAAATTAATATTGTTCACATTCTTTATTCATTCAAATTCAATTAATATATGTTTGTTTGAAAGTGCAAAAATGATGAGACTAAACTTAATTGGTTCTAGCGTGTCATGCAAGCAGATTTGAGCTTTCGTGTTTACCCTATCATATAATTGATAAGCTCTTATGTATGTGCGCTGTTCGCTGTTCAATGTTCAAAAAAAGTCTACATTAAATCAGTTGAATGATGGACTAACCTGTCGATCTCTGAACTCTTTGAACAAGTCAAGATGAGCAACTGACAAGTCAAGTGCTTCGGCAGATTTGATGTGTTGCCTCCCCGTTTGCAGAGTGGTGCATTGAGATCTGTTTCTTTACTTTTTCATTACTTTTGTTGGCAAAGTAATGCCTTATTTCACTCATACTGCTCTCTCTATTTATTAATTTCGGGCGTGTAGAAATTCGAATGAACTTCGTTTGATCCATCGTGTTCCTCTGTTGTTGTCACCGTTTGCCGGTTTCGCGTGACCCGCGTCAGTTTAGGTAGCGCACCGCCGCCTAGCGGTGAACTTCGAAACAGCAGCGCATCAAATACCGAATTGAACAAAATTATGATATTGTACCGTTTGCAATATAATACCGGTATTTTGGCAGTACCGGTATACCGCGCATCCCTACAAAATGTATTAACAAAATGTTCAATGTCATCAGAATACAAATGAGAAAAGAAGAGTTAACAATGGCTGAAAAAGTTAATAAATAAAAAAAGAACATGTTATGTTTAAATAGGTTTCAGAAGAAATGTAATGCAGGGTCCAAAGATGAGAGGGCAAGTTTTAAAGTTGAGACACGCACATATAAAGCATATTTTAAACCCTTTTTGTATAAAATGTATATTTATTTGCAACAGTTATGTTAACAGCAATAATAAGAAATGTCTGTCGTAAGAACAGGTATTCAGCTGATGGACACCGTGCTGCGTTGTCATGGGAACATTCCAGGTGAAAATAATGAGGAAATTAAGTTGTCTTTCGTTGCTCCCTTCACCAAGTGCGATCCAAACGGCTACATAATGACAAACAAGTGCCCTGCTCACTCCAAAGTCCCCACTTCAAGGGGTCTGCCCTTCGAAGGGAGTAGGGCATAGAGATGCTCACGAGCAATAAGCATGTCCCAGCCGGGTTCGTCACCATTGGGTTCCCTCAGGAAACATTTCCGTTGTGGTCTGTGCTATTTGCAGTGCGTTTCTGTATTTGGTTGTGTTGTGAACTTTTGCAGTTGTGTTGTGAGTATTTGGAGCACACGTGTTGTAAAACTGATGAAGATGTTTTCTTTATTTGCATGTGTTTTCCTTATTTGCAGTGCGTTGAGCTCTCTCTGCCACCGTTCAAATTGATCAATCATGGCCCTGTCCCAAATGGTGCCTAAGCACTCAAGGTCTTTGACCCTCTAAACATTAATGAGGGTGATGTTGTTGCTTATTTATTATCCACGCTATTTTCAAGATTAACTTTTAAAGAAAAGCTGGAGTTAATCGGAAAAAGAAGAATTGGCTACTTGGCGAAAATGCATATGATTTATTGTAGACAAATGCAGAAGTGTCGGTCTCTAATGTGCTTTGGTTTGAGGGCTGTCATGATTGCGTCGACTTAACATTAAATTGTGTTGGTTTTGTGTCCAGTTGTCACCATATTCTGCTGAAATGACACATCGATTGTCTGATGATGCAATTCTTTGTCATGATGATTTGAAATTTATTACTTTTTGTTTAATTTTGGTGAAAACTCTCACGCTCACTCTTTGCTTGTGGCATTTCTTGTCAAAGTCAAAGGTAACATGCAGTATTATAGAAGATGACAGAACTGCACAGAAAGCTAGGCTGATTTTAGGCTGTTTTTTTCCTCATTAATATTTCCCCCCCAGAACCTTTTTACAAAACCAGCATATTATCATTGAAAAATAAAATGTAATTCTTAATATAGTTTACTTTGATCCTTTTTCACTCTCATTAAAGCAGCTGTTTCCATATTGTGGTGTACTGATATAGTCTGTGTTGGTTATATGAGAGATAAATGTGGCTTTGTGGGAGAATCATTTTATTTCTCTTGTTCATTTTTGTGTGTGAGTTTTTGTAAAGCCTCTCATGCATTCTATATCACTGGGCTGCTACTCTCAGAGCACAGTAATAGAGAGCTGAATCTGACAGAGTCACACTGTTGATAATGAGTTCAGTGGATGTTTGGGATGTAGTCGACTGAAACCGTTGACGGTCTGGTATGTTCTCCTCACGGCTCCATGATTGAGCACCTTTATACAGTAAATACTGCGGTTCTGTGTTTGGATTCTGTCTGAACCAGTAAAGCAAGATCTCATTGCTGGTTGTACTGTATGTGCAGCTCAGTGTCACAGACTCTCCTTCTCTACTGATTATTGCTTCCTTGTCTTTTGGTCCAATGCTGTCAGGTAATACACCTGGTATAGAAATTTAGACAACAGAAAAGTCTGTTTAATAATGCCAAAGCAAAGTCAATATTTGTAATTTCTTAGCTTGTAGTAGTTTACCTTGGCTTACAATTTCGAACCAATTGCATATAACTTGTTAAGAGAGTACTTTACCTGATACTGTTATGACAATCAGTAGTAGATGTCTCTCCATGTTCATGCTTTTGATCTTTTGAGTTTTACTTGCTGAATTACTATACTTGGAGAGGTGGTCTGTTGTTTATTAATAATATGGGTGTGGCTAGTGACATCAGGGACATTATATAAAAACTATAAACCAGAAATGAAATATTATTTTATTACATCTGATTTTTTTCTTTAATTTGCCTATAAATCAGTGATTTATCTCCTGTAGCTCATTTGTAATTAATGAATTTGCTACAACACAAACTGTTTCACTCGCCTGTTTCCCCTATATACTGTAGGTTTCTTTCTTTTGATTTTGTGTGAGAGAGAGACATCCTGTTAACACTGGGCCTCAAAGCACAGTAATACACAGCAGAGTCAGACACTCGCAGTCTCTGCATCATCAACGGGACTGATTTTGATGCTTTTACTTAGAGTAAAATCTCTCCTGGAACTCTGTTCCATTAACTCCTCCTCCATATGAATTCCTTTGTAACACAAGTTTGGGAGATTCGTCTGTTTTCTGGATGTACCAGAAGAGCTCTTGTGATGTTGAGATTGTAGTATATTTGCAGTCCAATGTTATTAATTCTCCCTCCAATCCAGTAACATGTTTAAGTGGCTGATCAACTGTGTCTTCTGATTGACATCCTGGTAACAAACAAGAATAATTCTGTGACAATAAGTATCATGTAGAAATATAAACAAACATGCAAAAAGTAGCATATTTTGTTCACATATAGCAATCCAAATATTATTAATGTCTCCTTGAGCCATTGTTTCATTGTTTGTTCTTCGAGATGATATGAGTGATACCCAAAGAACAGACGAATCAATCAGCAAAAGCAGAGTAACTGAGAAAAGAGTGGTTAAACGCTATTATTATATACGGAAAGGAGGAGCTCAAAACACTGTCAGATGTTCAATGTTATCAGTATCAGTATAGAGTGGTAGAGTAGAGAATTACAAAGAAGTTGTGTGTGTGTGTGTGTGTGTGTGTGTGTGTGTGTGTGTGTGTGTGTGTGTGTGTGTGTGTGTGTGTGTGTGTGTGTGTGTGTGTGTGTGTGTGTGTGTGTGTGTGTGTGTGTGTGATAACACAGCACTGAGAAAAATAATAATAATATTGTTACATGATTTGTTAGCTTTGTAATTTTTTTATAGGTACATATAGACTTATTTTCAAAATATGACAAAGATCAGTATGGATAAGAGTCTGCCAAATGCATAAATGGAAATTATATACAGTAGTCAACATTTGAAGTGGATCAAAAAAGTTCATCAAAGTTGTCCTAAGACAAGACAAGTATTGTTCAAAATTCATGTATAACTTGATGAAAGGTTTTGATCCACTTCAAATGTTGAGTACTGTATTATTAGTATTACACTATTTAGCCGTTATTAATTGTGTATAGTATCGGCATTTTGTAGAGATGAAGTGCTACATGAAGTGCATTCTTTATAACGTTGGTGAGCTCAGCTGTTTAATGGAGGTGCAGTGAGGTCATACATCCTCATTTAGTTGTCAAATCTTTCTGGTAAAGTGAAAAAGAGCAAAGATAATCTGCATGCCAACTTCTGTTTTTTATTTATTTATTTTTATTTGGACAATCCATGACAAGTTGTCCATATGCATAGTACACTACTTACCTATGTACCCGCCCCCACCCCACCCCCAAAAAATATTATGGTCTGAGACTCAAACCCTTCCCATTGTAAATTAACCACAAAATGTACCTTGAAATGTGGTCTATAATTTAACATTACATTGGTTGTGGCAAAGACGACAGCTGCTGTCAAACCAAGGCAAAAAATAAATAAAATATCTGGTTGTTTTGCAATAATATTACATAGAGGTAATCACAAAAAATTAAAATGTAAATTAAAATGGCCAAGCAACCAACTTTAGAATATTTGGAACATTTGAGATAGATTGGCCCTATTTTTATGTTTTCAACATACAGTTGGAAAAAAAATATTCAGTTTTGATTATCAATCTTACTGTATGGAGCTATGTTGAGGAATAACTATAACTCTTGACATGAACAAACTTTATAAACATCCCATACAGCAAGTTAGTTTAATTTCATGTCCTCTCTTCTCAACTGTCTTCATGTACTGTACTTTAAAATTGTTCAACAGGTGTTACCACATTCTGTTATTTACAGTCTTGGTGGTTTACAAAATATATATGTGGTGTGATAAACATTTGATAGCTGGTTTTTAAAGTTTTTGTACAGCCTCTCAGGCATTTTGTATCACTGGGCTGCTACTCTTAGAGCACAATAATAGAGAGCTGAATCTGACAGAGTTACACTGTTAATAATGAGTTCAGTGGATGTTTGGGATGTAGTCGGCTGAAACCGTTCGTCTGTTTTATCCTCTCCTCCGTATGATCGAGCCCCTTGCCACAGTAAATACTGAGGTTCTGTATTAGGATACTGTCTGAACCAGTAAAGATAGACATAACTGCTGCTTGTATCATATGTGCATCTCAGTGTCACAGACTCTCCTTCTCTTCCGATCATATTAGTATCCTTGTCATTTGGTCCAATGCTGTCAGCAGCAAACACACCTGCAATAAAATAGAGCAATTGCACACTAAACCATCAGCCCTTTTCCATAAATCATAACATAGTTCTTGCCAAAAATGTGATATTTAAATTGTAAAATATATTCACCTGAAATTGTCATGAGAATCACTAGCAGACAGGCCTCCATGCTAATACTGTACCTTAGTTTAAATATGTTTTAAGGTTTTGATCACAGCTAAGCTTTGCTATTTATCATTTTTGAGGTTCATACATATGCACACCCATAAACTTTTGATAAATGATGTAGATTGATGCATGGATTTATACTGTAGTGGGAGGTGCTCTGCTAATGAATAGTGTGGGTGTCGGAGCCAATCCTCTATCCATTTTTATCCTTTCATAATGTATGAGGAGTGTCATTAACTGATGTGAATTACTGTACATGTCAATACTTATCAATCTTATGATAAGGTGACTCTTTTTATGCAATTTATTCTTACCATGGATCTTAAAATAATCTACAAAAGGCAAACAGTTTCTTTCAAAACGGTTCTTCCAATTTTTATTAAACAATTTGTATTATTGAAAAGAATTATTAAAACACATACAGCAACTTGTTCTAGTTCATTATCATGTCACTCCTTCTCTACTCTCTTCATGCACTCCTAAATTGTTCAGCAGGTGTTATACCACATTCTGATATTTACAGTCTCAGTGGTACATGTGGTATAAAACATATTTGATAAAGTTTTTGTAAAGCCTCTCAGGCATTTTGTATCACTGGGCTGCTACTCTCATAGCACAGTAATAGAGAGCTGAATCTGACAGAGTTGCACTGTTAATAATGAGTTCAGTGGAGGTTTGGGATGTAGTCGACTGAAACCGACGGTCTGGTATATTATCAGCTCCGCTTAATGATCGAGCACCTTTATACAATAAATATTGAGGTTCTTTATTAAGAAACTGTCTGAACCAGTAAAGCAAAATATTATTGCTCTTTGTATCATATGTGCAGCTCAGTGTCACAGACTCTCCTTCTCTCCTGATTATATTCGAATCTTCGTCACTTGGCCCAATGCTGTCAGAAAACACACCTGGAAGTAATAAAATACACTTCACAAATCCAATCCTTTCAATGAAACTAAAAAAGAAGACAAAGCAATTACATATAACTGCTTAACATTTAAGAATTGTTAAAAGTGTGATTTACCTGATATAATTATGAGGATCAATAAACACCTCTCCATGTTGATTTCAGATCTGAACTGTTTTTAAAAGAACAATTGAACAAAGTGAAAATTGTACTCTGTTGTTTTGTATGATAATTTATACCATAAATAATACTATACATAAATCATAGGTAAATTAATGTCCTAGAGAACTGATATGCTTTATTGGGACCCCCTCGGGGGGGATGTTACATCTCAAGGGGCTATCCTTTTAATAAATTCAAATTTATATTGTGGGTGTGGATTGTGATAAAGCCTCGCCCCCTTTTCTGCCAATACACATCATCAAGCGTCACTTTTGATCTGATGACTATAATTGAAATCTTGTGGTATCCAAGCAGTTTGATTCAGCATAGGTCTGAGAGAGAAGTCTGTTATTCAAAGCACTGGATTTGTTTTTGTTTTTTGCAAATGTATTGAATGTTTATTGAAATGCTGTTTTCTCACAATAAACACTGTAAAAAAATTACTGTGAAATTCACAGTAATTAACTGGAAGAAAGTGACAAGTAACTAACTGTAAAAACTGTAATAAATGTCAACAATTTATTGTCAAGTAACTTTCGGATAAATAGCCGTTTTTTCACTGTGTTTTCATTTACACCAGCAACATTAACTGTAAAATGAAACACAATAATCTCCAACTAGTGGGGTTTTTTTTTTTTTGGTCACAGTACTTTTAACCTCATATTTTTACTCCAAAGTTTAATACTGTGATTTTAAGTCACCATAATGCAACTTGCATAAAACTATTTACAGATTACTAGTATTCTGCTGTTAAAATAAAAATGGACTGCATTTTAACATTTTTGACACACTGACTTGACAAATACCCAAGGGAGAACAGGTGTAATGTCGCGTTCCAGGCAACCTGTAACCCGTGTTTTTTCAACTCGTAACTGGGAGTACATCGATCTAGTACGAATTCACGGGTGGGAAGTCACGGGTTTGACTGCCGTTCCAGTGCACTTTCACGGGTGTAAGGTTGGGAAAACACGGGTTACAGGTTGCCTGGAACGATGTACTCCCAGTTACGAGTTGGAAAAACACGGGTTACAGGTTGCCTGGAACGCGGCATATTTCATTTAATCTTTCTTTATCTTTCCTGATAAAGCAGAGTTTATGAGCGCTGCGCTGCTTTGTGTACAGCCATTACTGGGGACCTCTTTATAAACAGCGTTGCAAACCTGTTTTAATATAGTGTGGATTTTTTTCTACAGTATTCACTAATGAACATAAAATAGGGCATTCTAAGTCAATCTACTGCAGTATTTCCTCTCTCAATCCTTAGAAAATGTGGTTAACACCCAGTCATGCTTGAAAAAAAAAAGTCATATACCGTGAAACCGGTATAATTTTTATTAAAATACTGTGAAATGGATTTTTGGTCATTTCGCCCAGCACTAAGATGAGGGAATAGGCTTAACAAAAATATTTTATTCAGATAAAAACGTGGGAAGGACAAAAGAAAGTAACTACAGCTTCAACTGAGGTTCTTCCCAGTCAGGGGTATTAGGCTTCCTTCCACACGCCAGTACCAAAGTTATGCCACCTTCAGAAGGCGAGACATAAGAGAACTGCTAGCATGGTTAAACAGGCTTTAGTCTCTTCAGGCAGTTTCACTCTGCTTCAGCACATCAAAACAACCTCGAGTGAGACAGGATTCCCTGTTTTCTAAATTGTCTATTCACTGCAAATATGTAACAGAATAACAGCAAAATCAAGGTAAACTTATAGTAATTGGTTGGGGACCCTGCTTCCAGTGCAAAGTTTTGTCAGTATGTACTACATACAAACTATTTTCAGTGTTTACTTCATTTATTTTTAATATACAGTGTGTCCCTCCATTATTTATTAATTTATTCATTTTTGGTAATCTACAGAGAGGTTTGGAAATTTGAGTCTGGAAAAGTATGGAACTTTGAAATGGAAAATGTGTAGGAGGAACCCTGCGTTAAACAACACTACAGGGTTTTTGTATGAGTGTTGAGTGTGTTTCAGTGACTGTGGTCGTCAGAGCACAGTAATACACAGCAGAGACAGACACACACACATCCTGGATTGTCAGTGGAAATGATTTTGAAATTGTGTTGAGGTCACCACTAAATCTTTCCTTGAGCTGACCAAATTGGCTCAGCATGTATTCTGGAAATCCATTTACTTTTTGCTGGTACCAGAAGATATTTCATAATACATCAGTGGTTTCATATTGACAGTTGATTGTTACAGCTGCTCCTTCAACAGCAGTTTGAAATCTTGTATTTTGTTCAACGCTGTTCAGAGAATCACATCCTGTAATGTAATATCACTGATGAGGATCTCTTATTCATTTTAGAGGAATATTACAACATGTACTTACAGAATTTGACTTACCCCAGAAATATGTGAGAGAGAAGACTACAATGTTGTGCCAGTTTGCCATCACAATAATTGTTGAAATAATACTTTATATGAAATGAACTTATTGAAATATACAGCAGACTCTTGTTTCAGCCTCTCTTTGATAAAGTTGTACTAACACTGTCACACACACAGAGAACTGCAGGAGGAGTCTCACTGCACCACAGTTCCTGAATATTGAATGTCTCCTCCTCCTTAAAGGGTTAGTTTACCCAAAAATTATGTCAGTAATTACTCACCCTCATGTTGTTCCAACCCCTAAGACTTTTGTCCATTTTCGGAACACAAATGAAGATATTTTTGATTAAATCTGAGAGCTGGCTCATTCCTCCATAGGCTTCTATGTTATTGAAAGTTAGTAAAAAAATTGTTAAAATAGTCCAAGTGACTACAGTGGCTCAACCATAAGTTTATCAAGCGACGAGAATACTTTTTGTGCACAAAAATAGCGACTTTATTCAACTATTAATTTTCTTCTCTGTGGGCCTCGAGTGAGTTCATGTAGTGTAACTGCGCATCGCTTCTGTGTTGCACGTCTAAGCCTATGGAGGAGTGAGACAGCTCTCAGGTTTAATAAAAAATATCTTAATTTGTGTTCCGAAGATGAACGAAAGTCTTACGGGGTTGGAACAACATGAGGGTGAGTAAATAATGACAGAATTTTCATTTTGGGGTGAACTAACCCATTATTGTTATGCATTCTTATCAATGGCAAAGAATTGTTTTTGTATGAGTGTTGAGTGTGTTTGAGTCACAGTGGGCTGCAGAGCACAGTAATACACAGCAGAGTCAGACACACACACATCCTGGATTGTCAGTATAACTGAGTTTGAGTCCAATCTGCACGGCCGCATTAACAATAGGGCTAGGCGGGGCTAAAGCCCCGGGGCCCGAGCAAGGAGGGGGCCCGTGATTGGCTGTGGAGTAGATACTAGCCATCTGATTGCCAAAGCCTTACCACGCAACGCCCCCCACAAATTAGCCCTGTTATTTAGTGGCGCTTTGCCGTATATTCCATGCATTATCATGGAATCATTATCATTAATATTATGACCGTTCGCAAAGACCCGCCTTTTTTAGTTACTGTGTGACAAGCCAGGCGGCTCTCACGAGTCACGCACATCATGTTCTCACTCACACACTGAAAAATACATCGCGGGGCAAAGACTAACGTTACACCGAGTGACTACGAGAGAGAGTTCCGGACAGCTTACTGTTGATATGAAACAAAGTCTCAACTTTCAAATATTGTAATTTAAATAATTTAAACCATACCGTTTTCAAGTTCAAGTCCACCGACGTTCATCTACTGACAGCTTTGTTGTCGGACAAAATTGCGTATTCGGCGTTATGATTGGCCAGTTCGCCTGTCAATCAAACCCCCGTGGGCAGCAGGGCATGGTGAATTGAAACGTCACGTTTTAATTTGATATACATTTATTCTTATTTAACTTGTGAACGATCTACCTGCTGCTGCACGTAGGCCTATCAGATGGCTGACTGCGCCTTATTAGAATATACGCATCAACCAATCAATCGCCTCCACTCTTCACTTCATTCTAGACTATTCTTAAAACACATGCGTCATCATCGACCCCACAAATTTTCGGTAAGTTTGATTATTAACTTGATGGATGTATGATATTGCTTTTTGTGTTTGATCAAACTCTATTTTCGCCTAAATGGCCTAAAATATGTACATTTTCCTGCGCCATCATGATGTAAGTTTATAATTTAAACTCGTTTTTAAGCATTGTGGTTTGGATACAAATTATTTTAAACTGCTCAGGCACAGTAAGCAGCGGGAGAGAATTCATTTTGGTTTTGAGACCATGGTGAACTTGAGACGGTTTTGCACAGTGCACTTGAGTTCCGACCCTGAGGTCTTAAAGTGACAGTAGCTGCTAATAAAGCTGCTGTCGCCATTTGTGTCAATAATGTTAATCAAACATCAGAAAGAAAGTAATTTACTGCCCTTGACTGAATCACTTTTGTAAAATTAATAAGAATGAATGTTGAATTTATAGTGAAAACTATGTATTGTTTATTTGATTACTTTATACAATATAATATTATTCAGTGCTTTAAGTTTTTCAAGTAGGTCGATTTCTTATGTGCCTTTGTTCTTTTGATATTTGTGACTCTTGTCATCAGTAAGTTTAGATTATTTTCTTAAGCTACTATTATTTTTTGTGATATTGAAATTGGTCACAAGAATTATGAAATTTTAGTGGCATAAAATTTTGATATGATAAAAAATCGTATTAAAAGTAATATAACTTAACTGTGAAGTATATCATAGATGAATAAAATGACTTGTATAATGATAGAACATTTAGCTCATGTAGTTGGTGACCTAAAGTGGTGGTGGGGGGCCCTGCAGTAACTCATAGCCCCGGGGCCCAGTGAGCTCTTAATGCGGCCCTGCCAATCTGGCATCAAATCTGTCTTCAAATTCAGAACTGCTACTTGATCCAAATTTGTATTTCACCAGTATATATTCAGGAAGGCCATTAGAGCGCTGAATATACCAGAAAAGATATGGAGCAGACTGAAGCGTTTCATATTCACAGCTCAGGGTAACCTGCTGTCCTTCAGTGCCAGTTTGTGTCTCACTTGGCTGATTAACAGTGTCTTTCCCAAAGCTTCCTGGAAATGCATAATAACATAATTATACAAGCAATGTCAATTTAATAATGCAGTTATTTTCTACAATAAAGGTTTGATTACTCACCATAGAAATTAAAGGCAAAAATGAATAAAATAGGCATAATGTGAGTCATCTTTGTTTATCTATGCTAGGAAATAGAAAATGTCATTGAAAGCGTGTTCCAGCGCTGGAGGAGAAGCTTTGTTTCCTGCTTTTCGTGTTGATGTAGTGATGATGTTCAACAGCAGATTTTCTTTTCAATCAAGGCTTACAATTGTAAATATGAGGTGATGTCATGTGTCTGTAGATATCGCCATCTTCAGGTTGAAAATATTTTATACATCTGTGTCCCAACTTCCAACTGTAACATCAAATCCACAACAATGACTTATCAATTGCAGTTTTTTTTAAACTGTTTTCTTAACAGTTTTGTGTTGTGTTGTTCAACGCAGGTTCAATGAAGTCAATGCTGACTTGAAAGTATTAAATAAAAGTGTAAAAAAAAAAAAGTATATATATAGATGGATTTTGCCATTGATATTTTTTTTTATATTCATGTTGTTTTTAGAGGTTTTCATAAAGGAAATAATGAATGCTATAAGTAGCAATTGGCAGTTATAGCATGTGCAGCAAATGTGTTGGTCATCTGTGTTTTTTTAGGCGGTAATAACTTAAGTGTAATTAGTATTTAGGTTTTCTGAGGCTTTATAATCATGGAAGTCACATCACAACTGATGTTAAACAACACTCAGATGCTCACACAGGTTTTTTTTTTTTTTTTTTGTGTTGAGTGTGTTTGAGTCACAGTGGGCTTCAGAGCACAGTAATACACAGCAGAGTCAGACACACACACACATCCTGGATTGTCAGAGGAATTGTTCCTGATTGCATGAAATCTCTCCTTAAATTCAGGCTGTTGTTTCTTTCCCATTGGAAAAGGCACCCAGAAGGTGATCTGTTTAGTAGCTGTTTGTACCAGAAGAGATGAGCATTCGCAGAACTCATGAGTGTATAATGTGTAAAGTCACTTGATTTCCCTCAGCTGAAGTCTTTTCTCTTAAAGGCTGATCAACATGGTCCTGTCCCCGGCACACTGATGAGATGAAGCATAAAATTCAGATATACTCAAATGATGAAGCAATCATATACAGATATACTCAAATAAATAAAGTGTAAATGGCGAAAGAAAGAATAGAAGAACAATCACCCATTTTGTCATTGTTGCTCTGAGTTGAAGAGTGTGAGAGAGAAACAACTAGTGTGAGTCTCCTTATGGTGAATCTCTCTATCCTTAGTAGAATCTCTTGATATTAACAGCAACTGCACAGTCACACCAGAATTTAAGGGACGGTTCCCTCTGGTGGTGAATTAATTGTATCAAACACCAAGTTTTTTTGGAGTTAATTTTTTTATAATTTGTTATTTAATTACATAAACCATGTCATTTGACAGATTATGTAAAATAATATTACATACAGTATAGGGTTCAGCCTTATATACAATTTGAGAAATGATACTTCTTAATACATTTTCTGAGCTTGACAATATTTTCATGCTGCCAGCGTCTAAATCATGTTTATTTATTTTTGTTAATTAATTTTAAAATATGATTGTTATATTGTTTGTGATATGTCCACATCTATTATGGTTAATGGTTTTGCATATTAATAACAATCCCCAAAATTCAACATTATGTTGTGAAATAATTCACTAAAGTCAGAATCGATTAATTGGGTTAAATCAGAAGTAAAATGACAATTATTGGATAGATGATAGATCATACTTTTTCAGGCAGACTCAAGCAGAAGAGATATCAAATGATAATGTAATGTTTAATCACATTTGTCAATCTGCGATGTACTAAAGTCATGTGGAGTGCTACATGTTTATTATTAGTTATTTTGATCCCTTTCAATTTTTTTCTTACATTTGCCTTTATAACTTGAATACAATTTCACACAGGTGTTTCCACTAGTGTAATTATATAGATTGTGGGTTTGATGTGGCTTGGCATCAAAGTAAAAATACATTTGAGTTTTTGTACAGCTTCACATAGACTTTGTATCACTGGGCTCCAGAGCACAGTAATAGAGAGCTGAATCTGACAGAGTTACTCCTTTAATCATGAGTTCAGTGGATGTTTGAGATGTAGTCGACTGAAAGCGAGGATCAGAGGGGTTCCCAGTATCGCTCCATAAACGAGCATCTTTCCACTTTAAATACTGAGGTTCTTCATTAAGATACTGTCTGTACCAGTTCAGTGTAACATAATTTCTGCTAGTATTGTATGAGCAGCTGAGAGTCACAGTTTCGTCTTCCTTCTTTATGATAAGAGTTTCTTTATTTGGCCCAATCTGGTCTGCAGTCATCACACCTAAAACAAGCGAGTAAGAAAAATATGAGTCAAGTAACATACAATTATCTTTTACACTGTTTTTCAAAATCACTAATGAATAAAGGGAGTAATTGTACCTGAAGTCAGAACTAAAACCAGAAACAGGTGTTTTTCCATGTTTACTTGGTCAGATCAGTGTATCACTGTGCTCTGATGCTTAGTGGGTTTTTTTTTATACAATTTTGCAATAGTACATATGAGGTGGTGCAAGGGCGTAGATTTGGTTTGAACATTGGGGGGGGGGGGAGGTATAAATACTAGGGGGGTTGTAATGCATAGATTTAAATATTGGGGGGGTTATACCCCCCCCCCCCACAAATTACGCCCCTGAGGTGGTGTCATATTTGATGTAGATATCGCCATCTTCAGGCTAAAAATATTTTTTTGCATCTGTGTTCCATTTGAGGCAACTTCCAACATAATTGTAACATAAAACCAAAAAAGTTATAGAATAAATTAAAATAAACATTTGTTATTGATATCTATCAGATAGCACAGTATCACTAAAAAAGCAACAAACTATCAGTATCAGCATTTTATTGTTATTTTTATGGTGCAATGATGTTTTTTGTTTTGTTTTGTTTTTGTATTGTATTTTTTTTGAAGGTTCAATGCAGTCACTGCTGACTCGAATATGAATTAATGAAAAGTTTTTTTAGAAGTACACTACAGCAATTTGATTTTGCATTTACAGTCATGTTATTTTTAGATTCTTTTATATGGCTAAGAATATAATAATTAATATAAGAAGCAATTGGCAAAGCAGTTTCTTAGCAGTAAAAAAAAGACAGGTAGGCAGTAAAAATGTCGCATTAAATGTAATAATCATTTCAACTGACAGAGGCTTAATAACAGTGGAAGAAGTCGCATCACAAGGTTAAACAACGCCCAGAAACACACATAAGGTTTTTGTATGAGTGTTGAGTGTGTTTGAGTCACAGTGGGCTTCAGAGCACAGTAATACACAGCAGAGTCAGACACACACACATCCTGGATTGTCAGTGGAAATGATTTTGAAATTGTGTTGAGATCACCACTAAATCTTTCTTTGAACTGATATTCAAATTGGCTCAGCATGTATTCTGGAAATCCATTTACTTTTTGGTGGTACCAGAAGAGAGTTGGTGATATATCAGTGGTTTCATATTGACAGTTGATTGTTACAGCTGATCCTTCAACAGCAGTTTGAAATCTTGTATTATGTTCAACGCTGTCCAGAGAATCAGATCCTGTAATGTATAACATCACTGATGAGGATCTCATATTCATATTAGAAGAATATTACAGCATGTATAACAGAATTTGACTTACCCCATAAATATGTGATAAAGAAGACTACAATTTTTTGCCAGTTTGCCATCACAATAATTGTTAAATAATATGAATTCTACAAATAGACCCTTGTTTCAGCCTCACTTTGATAAAGTTGTACTAACACTGTGTCACGATTTGGTTTGTTCATGTCATGTTCCATGTCTGTCATGTGATTCCCTGTTTGTCATGTGATCCTGCCATGTGTCTTGTCATTGGTTAATCGTCTGTTCATTGGTTAATTTTTGTTGTTCAATCTTAAAATATGTTTGTTTTATTGTATGTTATATGGCCACATCTACGAGGATTGGTTTTGCATGTTTTGTATATTAATAACAACCCAGAAAATGATATTTTGATCTCTTTCCCTTTTCTTTCAATTTCCCTTTAATAACTTGAACTAAATTTCATTTGTAACCACACACAGGTGTTTCCACTGGTGTAATTATATTATGAGAATTATAGATTGTGGGTTTGATGTGGCTTGACTTCAAAGGGAACAAATAATTTTAGTTTTTGTACAGCTTCACATAGATTTTGCATCACTGGGCTCCAGAGCACAATAATAGAGAGCTGAATCTGACAGCGTCACTCCATTAATAATGAGTTCAGTGGATGAATCTGATGTAGTCGACTGAAAGCGAGGATCAGAGGGGTTTCCACTTGCAGCTGATCTGGGATGTTTAAATATTAAATACTGAGGATCACTATTAGCATACTGTCTGTACCAGTAAAGATAAACAGAACTGCTGCTAGTTGTATATGAGCAGCTGAGAGTCACAGTCTCGTCTTCCTTCTTTATGATGAGAGTTTCTTTATTTGGCCCAATCTGGTCTGCAGTCATCACACCTAAAACAAAGAAAGAAGAACATTTCTGTGTCAAGTCGCACAAAATAATTTATTACACAGTTTTTCTACATCACTACAATGAATAAAGGGAGTCATTTTGTACCTGAAGTCAGACTTAAAATCAGAAACAGGTGTTTTTCCATGTTGACTACTGTAGATCAATTAATGTTCTCTGTGCTCTAATGGTAATGCTTTATTTCAGTGCTCACAGAAGAGGTGTGTCGTCAGATTTTTTTTTTTTTTTTTTTTTTTTACTGATGGTTTCAGATGCAGGAGATTGGTTGAAGGTAACCGTTTTTAACGCATACACAAGAGCCTTGAAAAAGACATCAGAATGTTCGGGATTGGGCTCTTTTCGTCTGGTTAAAGAATGAACACACCATCAGATTCTGGGTCATAGATACTCCTAAAAATAGTTGAAGATAAAAATAACTAAAAGAAAATAATGTAGATCCGCTCTGCTTGAGTAGAACTTTGCAACCTCACAATTTGCAGGTTCATCTTGAACTTTAATTGATGCGATTCTTGATGGTTCCCCACAAAGAGCACTTTTATTGATTATTACTGATTATTACTCATTTACATGTAGAGAATGTGTAGCTACTTCACGCTGCGTTGCATGCTGGGGCGGCGCTGCCATCTTAAGAGAATGTCCTGATGAAAACCAACTTGTTAACATTGCCCGGCAGAAGTGTGATCATGGTTTTCCTGATGCTAAATCCAGCCTTGGAGAATATCCTTTCTGATGGTGTGCATCCACACTTTTGATTTTCTTATCCCAGACATTTTTAAAGATTTAAATCCCTGCCGCCAAGACTCTCCTCTGTCGGTCACAGATCGAAAGTGAAACTTAAATCTGTCATGGGGTGGATTTATTCACGCATATTAAAAATATTTATTAAAAGCTTCTTTCTTTGCACATTTTTATTTACAGCATAATCATAATAGGCTGTATATTAACGTATTGACAGAAAACCGGAAGTTCTATGTAAAATCAGACATGAGCACCCTCATATTGCTAAAGTGACATGATCCTTGTTTCATAACACCTCTGGAAGGAAATATGTTTAAAAATGTATTTAAGAAAGAGAATCAACACTAAATATTGTTGCTAGTGTGTCATCATCATAATATTGTAAATGTGCGTTGTGTAGTGACTTTGACATACATAATTCACTTTTGTTCTTGGCATTGTTCCTCACTGTTGTTCAGGGATCGTGGTCCCTTTAAATGTTCTGTATGCGTGATGACGTTAGACGCTAGTCAGGGCCATTTTGGAGTTGAGTGTTTTTTGTTTTCAATAATAAACGACACACGCATTCGTGTGCTCAATGTGAGAAGTTGTCTCTTGCGATTTACTACAATTTCCACACTGGTGACCCCGACATTAGTCTGCTGGACGTATCCAGTGACCCAACACGACCATGGCCACGAACGCTGTCACCCTCAAACTCCCCGAATTCTGGGAATCGTCGGCATCGGCTTGGTTTGCCCAGACTGAAGCGCAGTTTGCGTTACGAGAGATCACCGCGGATACAACAAAGTATTACTACGTTGTGTCGGCTCTCGGTAATGCAACAGCATCGAGAGTGGTGAGCCTTCTTACAAACCCTCCGGAAACTGAGAAGTATGCAGCACTCAAAGCCCACCTGTTAAAAACGTTCGGACTGACGGACGCTGAGAGAGCCGGTAGGCTTTTCTCCCTTCAAGGATTGGGTGACAGCAAACCGTCCGAGCTCATGGATCACATGCTGGATCTTTTGGGTGAGCACAGACCCGATTTTCTTTTTATACAGCTTTTCCTGCGTCAGCTGCCTTCACAAGTGAGAGCTGCATTAGCCAACACCACAATCACTGACTGTCGGAGACTGGCCGAGGAGGCTGATAAATTTTTCCTGGCGAGTCAGGGACATTGCGCGGCCGCGCTTTTTCCCGCGCACATCGCTACGGTGACACGGGACGACTCCACCTTTATCGCGGCTACCACTTCTCGGCGGCAGCAGTCTTCTGGCCCCCAACAACCTTCAGGCTTGTGTTTTTACCAAGCGAAGTTTGGAACTAAGGCTAACAAATGTCGCCTACAGTGCAGTTTCGGCGGGTCGGGAAACGCAGGGGCCGGCGCTCAGTAGTGGCCATGAGTGTCGGCCGCGTAGGCAGGCTGCTTTTCATCCATGACAGCATCTCCGGACGGCGTTTTCTGTGCGACACAGGAGCACAGAGGAGCGTCCTGCCTGCATCCCGTTTGGACATGGTGACTGACAGCCACGGCCCCCCTATGGAAGCTGCCAATGGAAGCCCCATCCGCACTTATGGACAAAGGTACGTCGAATTGTGTTTCGGAGGACAGCGCTTCGGCTGGAACTTTGTTACAGCAAAGGTGGCCGTTCCCCTCCTCGGTGCTGATTTTTTGTGTGCACATGGACTGTTGGTAGATGTAAAGAACCGCCGCCTGATTGACGCCGTCACGTTTTGCTCTTATACATGCACGCTCAGCGGGCCCGACTCCATACGACTGTCTAGCATGCTTTCAGTTTCTGATGATTTCCACCGTCTGCTTGCCAGGTTCCCAGCTCTCACCCAGCCCACTTTCTCTGCATCTGCTGTGAAGCATGGTGTGGAGCATCATCTCGCCACTACTGGTCCGCCCGTGTATGCCCGTGCTCGGCACCTCGACCCGACCAAGCTTGCCGTTGCAAAGGCTGAGTTTGCGAACATGGAGCGCCTGGGAATAGTCCGCAGATCCGACAGCCCATGGGCATCGCCTCTTCATATCGTCCCCAAACCTGGTGGCGGCTGGCATCCGTGTGGCGACTACCGGCGGCTTAATGAGGCAACGGCACCTGACCGATACCCAGTCCCGAACATACAGGATTTTTCAGCACACCTGTCTGGCAAAGTGATTTTTTCGAAGGTGGACCTTGTTAGAGGTTATCATCAGGTTCCGGTACATCCACTGGACATTCCCAAAACGGCAGTGATCACACCGTTTGGTTTGTTTGAGTTCCTGCGCATGCCGTTCGGCCTTAAAAACGCCGCCCAATCTTTTCAACGACTCATGGACTCTGTGTTGCGGGACCTGCCTTTCCTTTTTGTGTATTTGGATGACATCCTAGTAGCGAGTACGTCCAAGTCTCAGCACCTCGCGCACCTCCAAACCCTTTTTGAGCGGCTTAGCCAGCATGGACTGATTGTCAACCCCGCCAAATGCCAGTTCGGCTTGACCACCATCGACTTCCTAGGACACAGAGTCACTAAGGACGGGGCAGTCCCCCTCCCGTCAAAGGTGGAGGCGGTCGCACAGTTCCCGCGCCCTCTCACTGTCAAATCCCTGCAGGAGTTCCTCGGCATGGTACATTTTTACCACCGTTTCATCCCTCTAGCCGCTCAGCTCATGCAGCCTTTGCATGAGGCCTTGAAGGGTAAACCCAAGCACGCTGTATCCTGGAATGAGAGTAGAGACAGGGCTTTTGCTGCCACTAAGACAGCCCTAGCTAACGCTGGCATGTTGGCACATCCTTCTCCAACAGCCCCCATCTCCATCTCCTCGGATGCCTCGGACTATGCTGTTGGTGCTGTATATGAGCAGTGGGTAGACGAGGCCTGGCAGCCGCTGGCTTTCTTTAGCCGTCAGCTGCGCCCCTGTAAGCGGAAGTACAGCACATTCGACCGGGAGTTGCTGGGTCTCTACCTCGCTATCCGACACTTTCGTTCCCTGCTGGAGGGCTGACATTTCACCGCTTTTGTGGACCACAAGCCGTTGACTTTTGCCATGGCCAAGGTGACTGAACCGTGGTCCGCCCGCCAGCAACGTCATCTGTCCTACATTTCTGAGTTCACCACGGACTTGCAGCACGTCGCCGGTAAGACCAACCGAGTGGCGGACTGCCTATCACGGGCTGTGGCTGGGGCAGTCCACCTGGGTTTGGATTACGACCGCATGGCAGCGACTCAGGCCACAGACCCAGATGTGCAACTCCTGAGGACATCGGCTACAGGGTTGCAGCTCGAGGACGTGGTTTTTGGCGATGCCGGCACCAAGCTCCTGTGTGACATCTCCACAGGTAGTCCTCGGCCGGTCGTTCCCTCGGTATGGAGGCGACAAGTTTTTGATGCCGTCCATGGTCTCTCCCACCCGGGTACGAAAGCGTCACAGAGGCTGGTGGCAGGGAAGTTTGTTTGGCACGGCCTCAAGAAGGACGTTAGAGATTGGTCTAACACCTGTGTTGAATGCCAACGGGCCAAAGTCCATCGCCACACTAAAGCCCCGTAAGGGTCTTTCTCGGTTCCGGAAAGACGTTTTGACCATGTAAACGTGGACCTGGTTGGTCCTCTGCCCTCCTCTCACGGTTTCACATATTTGTTCACCATGGTTGACAGGACCACCCGCTGGCCCGAGGCTGTGCCTTTGACGTCAGTGACGTCTTCCGAAATGACACGGGCATTTATTGGCACCTGGGTTGCACGTTTCGGCACTCCTTCGGACATTTCCTCTGACCGAGGCGCACAGTTTACTTCTGAGCTGTGGGCCGCTGTCGCACAGAGCCTTGGAGTGAAACTCCACCGTACAACCGCATATCACCCGCAAGCTAACGGACTCTGTGAACGTTTTCATAGGTCAATGAAGGCTGCCCTGCGCGCTGGCCTCAAAGACAGCAACTGGGTCGACAAGCTCCCGTGGGTGATGCTGGGCATCAGGACCGCGCCAAAGGAGGACCTTCAGTCCTCATCCGCGGAGTTGGTTTATGGACAGCCACTGCGGGTACCAGGGGATTTTGTCCCTAGCACCACGGTTCCCTGGTCTGCTACTTTTCAGCGGTCCACTCTACTGGACAATGCGAGGCTTTTTGCACCTGTCCCTACTTCCCATCACGGCCTTCCTCAGTCACACATACCCGCTGGACTTCAGACGGCTGACTACGTTTTCATTCGCCACGATGCCCACAGGGGACCTCTACGTCCGCCCTACGAGGGCCCATTTCAGGTTCTGGAGAAGGGGGACAAACATTTTGTGGTGGACAGGGGAGGGAAACCGGAGCGACTCTCCATTGACCGCCTCAAACCGGCTCACTTGGACGTGGCTAGGCCCATAGACCTGGCCCAGGTCCCACGGCGCGGACGGCCTCCTGCTCTGCCCCCACCCCTTGCTCCCCTCCCTCCCAAGCCTCCCACACTCCATGTCCCACACCCGTGCCAGGGC